ATGTTAAACAGTCCTGAGGGTTTACATGGGTATTCGTTTAAATTGCTGCTTAATTCATCACAAGTGTTGCATTTGGCTCTGAACCCAGTGGTCCCGGGAAGTCTGGCTCAGCTCTTCATATGAAGACCATTTCTCATTGGTGTGCAGGGGTACCCCAGATGCTTTTGTCTTACGGTTGTTTAGCAGCTGCGTTAAAGGGCTGAGCACAAAGACCTATCTGTGGAGGGTTGAATACACTCAGTGGGCACGCAGCCAATGCCTCAACCCTATAGGCTCCCACAGTTGAAAAGCAAACTAATGCATTCTGCTCTCACTCCTGACAGAAGATCTTGCAGGGAACTAAGTTGGGGGGCCCCCCTTTTTTTTCTCAGATCACCTAAGTAATTTTACATGTGAGCTGCAGTCATGCCAAGTTCCTGAATAATTTCTCGGAATGTTTCTTTTTCTTTTTTCATATAAACGCTACCTAAAATTGAACATAATAATCTACATAAATATTGGCATAAATATGCCCAGAACTTGACCGCAACTTAAAACAAAAGTCAGAGCTGCAACTGGAGGAAAAGTTAAGCTAAAGATAAGTTGAATTAACTTTCTGGTTTCTGTTAAAAAATTGCTTAAGTGTAATCAATCATTGAGAATGCATGCAGTAGAATGTGAGTTTACGTGCTCATTTTCAATGAGGTTATCTAAGTGTTTTATTTAAAGAAATACAGATTAACACTTCGACTCACATGGAAGCTTTAAAACTGACACGATGATCCCATTTTGCCTGTCTGCAAGACAGCTCACTCACTCAAGTCACTGGCTAAAAAACATCTGTACCCACAAGTGCACAATGGACTTTGTGAGTAAACATTCAAGACATTCTGTAGCCTATAACTTTCTCAATGAGGGTTCAGTTTTAGTTAGACTAAGACAATAATTTGTTTGTTCTTTTTTCATCACAATTGTTGCCATGGTTACAGGCTTTTCTCCAGGAAGCTAGTCTTGGATACTGGACTGATTCTGAGTACACTGTAATTCTCAGATCACAGAGGAGGAACACATGACTACTAATGATAAAGGATTGTATTTGGCTTGTCTCAGCAAGTGCACCCGCGTTTATTCTTTGGTATAAAAAAATCTCAAAACTGACTGAAATACTTATTCAACTTAGACATTCGTCAGTCCACCAAAAATGTTCAAAGTAGTACTTTGTTGTCTTGTTTGGGGAACAACATTTACTCTAAACGAAATCTTTAAAAAAGCTGCTTACCAGAGTCCACATCAGTGACAACACTGATGTGGGACGGACTGTTTACAGCATCTGATGAGACAACATCTGTTGGTTTGAGCTTCCATCCGGCAAAATCTGGTTATCCGAACAACCCTTCGCTTGTTGCTTTCTCCTCATCACTAAAATGCATTCAGACATTTCTAAAGAGTCTCTCACCTGAAACAATGTTCCCAGCTAGCAGGGTGCTCTATGCTCTCTGTACTCATATCCTGTCCATCACACACTGGAGGCAATGCGGTTTCTCTGCCAGTGTTGAGACATAACTTTGTAGCGAGCACTGATCGATAACTCTTCAACAGGAAACACATTATCATCTGCCAGAGTGGCAAAGGAGATATGTGATTCAGGGAAAATAAAACGCTATTGCAAATTAAATTTCAAAAGGTGTATCAACGCATATTCAACCTTTGTTTTTATTTCAGTGCCGTGGAAACTTTGGCTGTGTGGGCTGGTGCAGAAAACGCTGCAGCTGGGCTGAATGCATTTTGGATCAATGAGTAAATGTTAGCCCATTTCAGCTTCTCTTTACTCACCCTGACCTATCATTTTGCACTGGCCTTCTAGAACAATCATTTCACTGTAAACAAAACACTCATGCAGATCCACTATATCATCATGTCATTATCTTATCCAATGCAAGAGCTCAGATACTTGTACACCAAGTTTGGCAGTTTTTTTTCCACATATAGGGAGTATTCCTGTAAGTATGTGTGCCAAGGTGGACATGACATTTCTAACAAGGGTGACCTCACACAGTCACCGCGTTACATCCCTTCTGTTCAGAACGCTCTCAGAGAAAGGGACAGTCAATCCCCAACAAGGAACTTCTATTTCTGTCACTTCATGTCACCATGCTCAATGGCCTGCTTTGTTCTTAAAGGAGCTATAAGCCCGGCAAAAGAACAAGCCTATTCGGGCAGACCTGCAGGGCCGGAGGAAAGTGGTGAGGATGAGAGGAACCCGTAGAGCGGTAGAGGGGAGCCTTCAGGAGAAACAAAGTCAAGCAGGAGGAGATGAATGGAGCCTTGATTTATACGCTTTTTTTCCCCCAAAGCTACACAGTTGTAGAGTACTGTATGGGCCTCATCTGCTGTACAATCACCGAAGATGCTCGGTCATATGCGATGCCAAATGGAAGGAAGCCCAGAAATCATGCAATTATAACAGCAACTAACTCATTATGGAAGATATTTGCTGCAATTAATAATGGCAAACCATAACACATAACTACAATTGGGGTTTATTGATGTTGACATAAAAATGTGGAATGAGTTTTTAAATGTTAGCTCATATTTCAAATGGTGAAAAAGTATAGATGAAAATACGTCATCTTAATTTTCGAGCCAACGAATAATAAACTGGCTTTGATTCATGGCACTTTTACTCTCAGGAACCATTGAACATCCCTGATTTGACAGCGTCTTGCACTTCCCTGTTTTTCTCTGCCTATCTTGAGGTCAAAGGCACATGGTTCTCACTTCGAGTTTACCAATGAGCAAAATATCCACGAGTCAACTAAAAGTTGGAAAAGCTTATCTGACTGTCATTGCCTTGCCATCCGTTGACAAGTTGTTGATTCCATGAGGGCCAAAAAAACCTCTGCTGGCCAGGCTTTGGCAGTCATGTGTGTTTCCTATCCTCAGATTCAGGATGCAGGGTCAACGCGCACACAGTTCACCACATGAGCCTGATCAGTGAAGTGACAATTTCCAGACATCCTAGTTCAGATGCAGTAGGAATGTGCAAATGTTAAGGCATCAGTTGAGAGACACTGAGACACAAGGCCTTTGATCGCAGGCAATCACATGATGAGATTTTTTTCTTTGAATATAAAGAAGCTCATCATGAGTAAGAACTAAAGCAAATGCACAGATTAAGATGTGATCTCCTCCCCTTATCCTTGTATTACTGAATAACACGGAGTTAACAACTGGATCTGGTTTGCATCCAGCCTTGATGGCCTACACCACATGACCACAACAGTGGATTCAAACATTCTGACAAGGTCGTCCAGAAGTTTCCACAAGGAAGTGCAGCCCTCGCATTTTCAGTGATTAAGATCTGGCTCAAAGTAAAACAAACAGCCAACATGATTCGCTGAATTTGATTGAATTAATCTCTTGTCAAAGATGTCATGCACATGATTCAACTTTCCCAAAACAGAAATTGCATTGGGTTGTTTATTTTTCAACAAACAGAAATGTTCTAATCTGTTTTAATAATTTAATCAGTGGCAGATTCTGTAAAAAAAAAAATCTCGAAATTCCTTCCTTATTCAGTACAAGCCCAAAATGAAAATGATCATCTCTGAAAGAAGACATTATCACAAGGCCAGCACTGTCCCTTCAATGGTCCACACAACAGTGAAATCCTATTTATTTTGCTCTGGATTACTTTATGCGTTTTATACTTTTTTTTTGGAGCCTTTTCACATTGAACATGTCACATATAACATCTTTTACAAGCTCAGAAGCAACAAATGAATATCCACATACATTCAACAGGCTTTCGTGAATATTTTAATTCAAAATGGGAGCCTTAACAAGCAGACAATGCACAAAGGTTGATTGCTATGCAGAGTAATATCCTCTGTGAGACAGTCAATAAGGGTCTCTGGGGAATTAGTTCACAGTGCATCCGCTATGAAACTTGCAATTCAGTGAACTTCACTCTCTACATTAAGAGCCACTGAAGTCGCACAAAGGAGTAGCTCCAAATTAGGAGCACAAAGGAGCTTCTGTGAGAGCTTCAGAGCGAATTAATGAGCATTGATACACTTTCTCACACAGTGTTCTCCCATAGTCTCAGCTCCACTTTGGAAAACCAGACACACTGTTAAAAACTGTCCAAACCCAGTTTGACAGCTCAAAATAGTAGAATTACAATTATTAAATCAATCAAATGTACTCTAATCTGTTCTACAGGGATGAAACTGACTAGAACTGTGTGTGGATTACCGGTCTGGAGCTCGATTCGTTTTTAAAAAGCATTTAGATTGGTCAGAAGTTGCCGAACTCCCTCATCACTTTCTTCCTCCCATGAATCTCCCGGCTCCAATTGTGGAGCACATATTGTCAATACCTGAAACTCATTTATGGACGGGGTGGCCTCAGCTCAGTCCTTCAGGATAAACTCACTCACTCTGGTATGACACTTTTAGAACCTGCAAGGCTTCATCCACATTGCCTGTTGCTTCCAGTAACTTTTTATAGTTTTTTTTTTTACCAGATAAGCATGATTTGCTGTTTGTTCAGACAATAGCACCATATAGGCTTTAACCTTCAGGACAATAAGTACAACTTGATCAATCCCTTAATCAGATGGGGGCACACATGAAGGATGGGACCAATCTGGTAACTTTTGCAAACTGGTTTATGGCAAGTGCCGAGGCACTTCTAATGAAAGACAATAGGACAGCGAGCTGACCTGGACTAACCACCTCCACAGAACTGACCGGAGGAATCCCCATAATCTCCCTAATCGCTTTCCCCAGGTTGCTTCAGCAGACTGCTCTAATGCCGATTCTTATGAATCCGGGTCAGGTAAACTGCCTGCTCCAGACAGCCCACAGTGAGCAGTGAAGCTTCAATCCCGGTTAAAACGATACGCGCCCCAAAAAAAGTTGGAACGGCGTCACTTTCAGTGAGCGCCGTGCTAATCACGAAAAATGCGCACAAGTCTGTCAGCTGTGCGGGGACGCAATTTTATCAGCAAAACTTACCCATTTTGTTTTTTTTTTCTCTGAAAGTTCCCGAAAACGTGCGAAGTTCAAAAAGGATCTGTTGAAAGTTGAGCCCCCGCTCCTCAGATGCAGCGTCCCGGGATGCACACTGACCGCAGGCTGCACCAACTCTCCCGGCTGCGTCCCAGTGGAGGAGGCTGCCCCGCTGACGTCACCACAGAGGGGATTACTGATGGGAGGACGGAGCTCGCGCAGCCTTCCCCCCCCCCTCCTCTTCCTCACCTTCTCAGTCCTTCTCAAGAAGTTTGGCTCAATATCTTTCCATCATGTGCGCAAAGTCCAGTAAAAGACAGCCCTTGCGCCCGGGTTATCGCGCATGTCGACACAAAGTTGAGCAAATAAACTGGTTTCAGTCTAGATTAGAAAATGCTAATTCAAGCATAGAGCTATAGATAAAAAAAAATAACTAAAACAAAAAAGAGAAACGTCCACATTGCAGGTTAAAGATCACCACAGTTTGATCCACATTTTTTTAAACATGTCCGAAACTTTTGAACACCAGAAACTGCTGTTCTGACTGTATTTATTTGAGATCCTCAAGGCCTCTTCCTCCCATCTGGATTTAAGATTATTCCTCTCCTGCATAGATGACTGCACAGGTCTGCGGGGCATAGACCCAGAGGCCCTGTGGTTCTTTGTTTGCTGGCCCCTGGGCTATCCCCGAAACAAGATTTACATTCAAGAAAGAGGCAGGAAAATACACAAACTATTTCACAGATGAGGTATAAATAAAGAGACGTGGAACATGACTGCAAAAAGGCTAAATGGCAACAAAGAGATGTACAGAAAATCATCCAAAAAGTGTTACAGAATGAGAAAATAATAAATAAGATTTGTGTGCAAAGTAGGAAATTCCCAAACATACTCAGTTAGAGGCATAAAACGATGCCACAAATTGCCCCCAAATGCTTTGTGGGTGTTTTGTGGCTCAATAATTGTGTTTTTTCTGGTTCTGTGCAGGACAACTGTGGGATGTATTCATACAACTGTGGCCAGGTGCTTGCATGCTCATAAACTGGCCACAATTTCAATTAATACTATTTTAGTAGTATTTGTAAGCAGTTTTCCACATTTCGACAATTTATGGGAACATATAGATGAACAATTTAGTACTATTAAGGTTTTTATGTAAAAATCACAGAAGAAAAAGAAAAAAGTCTCATTCTACACATTCCAAACAACAAGGAAAAAATCATATTCATTTATCAACTATTTAAATTAATAGTACAGTAGAGTTCTACAGTACATTTGCATGTTTATAACTTAAGAAATGCAGTTTGTGAGGAATACCCCTCCAAAACCTTTTTCTCAGCTCATGTGCCTGGATGCATGTATTCTTTGACTTTATCTCCTATGCTTGATGTTTCTTCTGTTAACTGTGATTAAAGGCAGTCTTTCACAAAGATGGAGCCTTTAAAGAAACAATACCAATCACCATCAATCCAGTGCACTGGTATCCGGTATCCAAGGAGGTCTGAGCACCCCCTAATCCAATCCAGTCTTTTCATTGCTGGCCAAGTGGGCAATTCTCAATGGTTTGTTTCATGGTCAAACAGGGCATCCTCCCAACACGGCAAATACAAGAGTGGCTGGAAGGCAAATATTTAACTAGTCAGCTTCAGTGTTATACAGACAGCATTTATCTTTAATATGAAGTTTCTGTTCATCTGTTGTGCACATGTTGAGGGTTTTGTGCTTTGGGTTGTGATAGTGGAATAGTTGGGTTTTCATTTAATCACTTGTGTCACTCTGACAAGTAAATCTACTTGAGTGAATGCCTTAAAAGTGCGGCTCTGTCAATGGACAATGTATTAAATACAGGGCAATCATGACCAATTAAGCTATTTTTGTGCTTGTTCCAAAAATTGTTTGTCTTGATTGTTTGAAAGCTCTTTCCTCTCCATGAAGTTTCATTGTTTGGTTGCCATCTTTTCATCATGTAGAGTGTAGAACTTCTGCTGCTGCTGTCGTGGCATGTGTTTATGTTAGGAACGCTTTCGTCAATCTGCAGGACCACGGTCATCCTGCATGTGCCTTCTTTCTGTTTGTGTGCATGGGTTTCAGCAGGTCTGTGTGTGTGTGTGTGTGTGTGTGTGTATGTGAGAGAGAGAGAGTGTGTGCGTATGAATAGAGGATTTTCATGGGAACGTTCCAGCAATGCACTGGCTGTTACAGCAGGCACAGCAGCTGGCAGACAGCAGGCATGCAACTGTCATTAGAGTGATACCATAGAAAACAAAACACATTCCATGAAGCTGTTTTATCCGACTTTATTGGTTATTTATGGCCATATCATCGTATTTCTTACTATCAAATAAAAAAGAAAGTGTACCATTATGGATAAGGATATAAGTAACTGGATTTATGCCCATATTGGAATATGTCATGTAAGAAAAGCACACAGTGATGGTGTCCAGTTCTCCAACTCAAAACACTACACAAGCATTTTCTGCTCCAGACTAAACATTTTATCTGCAATTCTCCCTGTCCTCCTTTATGTTATGTTCCTAATTAGGACTAGGTACCGTGAAACAGGGATGATAGCAGGCAGTAGAGGCAAATTGAGGTAATCCTGTGGCGTCTAATTGCAAACAAAGAAAAGCTGCCGAAGCGGAGCACTAAACACAACAGCCACCATGGTAACAAACCACTGAGAAAATGGCAGACGCTTTGAATAGGCTCAAAAAGAGAGGCAGTTTGAGGGAACTGAGAGGAAAGTTGGCATCAAATCGAATGCTGCATGACTTGGTCAAACAGTTCTGGTCTGCAGGCATTCCTTAATGTGTCGGGTCATTATGCAGCATAATAGAATTTGAATGAATGGCGAAACTCCCTGTTCACATTTGTTCTAAAAGGATTTCACATTATAAAAATATTTCATAATCCAAAAATAAGGACCTTTTGAAACATTTTTACTTAAAATAGATTCTGCTCATGAATCATTCTTATTATTATCTTCTGAATAGAAATCAGAATTTTCAAAACACTGAGCCATGGATACAAAGCTTTAGTACAAACTGGAAGATTAATGATTGAACTTTCCATCTATAGTTAAAACATTATAAATAAAAAGCATTCACTTCTTATAGAGATCATCCAAAGTGAAATGCTAGAAAAAGATAATTTCACTGAGAACATTATTGTTCCAAAACACCATTCTTAGTGTCAGCAGATGTTTAAGAATTGTTCCAGAATTTTTTGCAGGCTAAATTTTTCCAGCTGATGTCCTTTATGGGTCATTTAGCAGACATCCGTAAGTATTTTGACAGTTACTCTAAACAATGCCTGCCACATTCAGGTGTCGACTCAAAAAACTTCAACTAGATCTGGTTCACTTTAAATGTGACTGAGAGACATTATACTGTTTGATACCCTGTGCCCATGGCAAAGCTTAAAAAGCTGTTGTCACTAAGTGGTTTTGGTCAACTATGTGTTATTTCCATGTCATTCAGAAGAAAAGCTGCTCTGCAATATAAAGCCAGTCACACAACAACTGGGAAGCTAACAGAGGCACAAATACATCAAATGAAATGGTATCAGGCATCCTGTGCCATTATATTATGTACCAACTCAACAACTTTGGGCACAATCGGATACATTTTAACCCTCACAGCTCTTTCTGTATATAGATTTATTTTTTAAAGCTTAAAATTTTTACTTTGAATGCTGTGCCCACTATTTTCAATTTTAACTGAACAAACTTGAGGGCTTACATATTTTTCTTGAAACAAAACAAATAGCTATTGTATAGCTTCGAATGACATATTTATTGTTTTCAGTCTTAATGTTAGCTCTCAAAATGAGAAATTCTTGAAAACACATAAGATAGTGTTGGAAACAGGCTAACACATTCTGCATTTGACAATGAGCTAATAACTTGTTTGAAAGTCCCCCCACGAACTCAGAGAGCAAAGCTTTTTCCAAGACTCTGACTTCTTGTGAGGTTTAGTTGTAGATTCAACATCTGGTTTAGTATTTGAGAAGAGGAGGAAGTAGTGTTTGTAGCCATCTCAAGGAAAAAAAGAAGGAAAAATGTTGTTTACCTCAGCACAGAAAAGGTTTTTAAAAGGGTTTTAACCATTCAGCTTCACTGGAAAACCCATTTTTGTTTACAAGTTAAAAACACACCTCATGAAGACAAACAAGGCATGCTTTTTTTCTCTGCGTCGAGTCCCTTTTGAACTAATCCCAAACTTGTATGTCTGATTATATCTGACTGAAGTCTGACGTGATAAAAATCAGGTCTCTGAAAGGTTTTCTTGGTTTGTCTCTGAAGAGGCTCTGCAAACACAATGCGTCACTGGTGAGTCTGAACAGACAGTGGAAAAGTGGCGGTGACCAGCCCCAGCAGCTTCAGGGGAGTGATGAGGACCTAAACAGCACTGAGCTGGTATGATTCATAGCTCTCCAGGCTCTAGGCAGAGGACAGTCACAAAATAGCTTTGCACACAACTTCCAACAGAGCAAAAAAACAAACAAACAAAGAAAAGATTATACATGACTTATATTCACCATATACAGTTCTGCCTTTGATTTGTGATATTCAGAAGAAAAGGACAAGTCACAATCTAGATTTTATTGATGTAACAGACAGGTATAAAAGTATGCAATTCTTTTATATAAGACTGAATTCGACACTGGATTAGCACATTTTTTTATTGTGTTAGTACTACCGTCATACATAGGAAAACAATTCGACTCCTGACAGTAAATTAAACAATTAGGGACTATATTACATAACTCATTCCATCAGGGTGAAGTTTTGTGTTAGATATCATATGAGACTGAGTCAGAGAAAAATACCGTCCATGAGTAATTTCATGGAAAACGACCAGCTGAATTTGTCAGCGGAACAGTAGTTGAATTCATAGCTACAATGCTGTGCTGCCATCTAGTGAGGTATGGGATAATAGGGACCTTTTATTTATTTATTTATTTATTTGTTCTGTTAGAAAACAGTATAATTATAAAAAAGAAGAAAATCACTATTCTGCTCACTCACACTTTGAAGATATCTGACACTGATAACAGAGCAAGAATAGAAATATAGCTTGAGGCAGATTTAGTGTCTGCAACCAGACGCAACTCCAAATAAGTGAGCTTGCACTTTCCTGTTCTTAAAACTGTGCAATTGTGTGTTGTACATAGATTGCTGAAAGGTGTGATCAATAAAAAATATCTGTGCTTCTCAAAGTGTCTGCTGTTTTGTTTCTTCAGTCAAAGTCTTATC